AAGCAAAAAAAAATGTGAAAGGAAATGATTTCTTATTCCCATGATTGCCCTGCTCATCAGCATTTTCCCAGTCATTGGTCAAGATCATGAGGCCTCTCTGACATCTCATGGCCAGAAAGTATTTATGGAGGCATATTTGAGGGGAACTTGGGCAGCTTGGAGACCCCTAACCACCCTGGGCTCACAAGGCCACTTCAGATTCCACTGGCGTTTTGCTAGCTCTCCAATGTAGCCAGTTACAAAGGCCACAGGATGCTGCATGAGAAGAGTTAACTGGCCGTGATTTGGGGTGTCATCTCGACCACCTACTACCTGTGTGACCTGGAGCAATGCACTGAACTCTGTTTCTTCCTCTATACAAATGGCTGCACTAATAATACCTTCCTTTTGTTACTTGTTCAATAAAATATGTCCACTAAAATATAAAATGTATTTGTTAAATGAAGTATTGAATAGGAAAGTATCTAGCACAGATCTTGGTAAGTACTAGGTATTTGATACATATTTCCTTCCTCTGTCTCTCCTTTTACCAGACTTGGTAAAGGCTAGAGGCTAGAGACTGCTAGGGAAAAAACGAAAGTGATTTAGAGCTTGCCTTTGAGACACTTTCTGGGTAGATCATGATATAAGGCAGAAATATCATAGGTGCTACACAAATGGGCAAGGGGCCCGAGTGTTGGGGAATTGGAGACCCCATCTAGAAAGAAGTGGTTTGGGGAAAGAACTTCATGGATAGACGACATTTCTCTACTTCCTTTCCATTCCCCTCCTTTCCAGAGGTGAGGACGGTCCCATCGTCTGCTCAGGACTCTACTTGCTGGCTCTCTTGATCACCTCTCCCCCCTCCATTGGCTTTGTCCTCAGATGGGTGGACACCAGGGAGCAACTCACAGTGCCTCCTGAAAACTCAACTCCCAGAAAAATGCCATACACGCAAACAAATGTTTGCATACAGTTGTAGGTGTTCACAGATGCCGTTGAATCCTTCCATGGGTCCCAGATTTAATAACTTTGAATGAAGAAAACATCCCTATGTAGGACAAGTGGTGGCCTTGCAGTTCTTCTCCAGGTACACTTAGAATGGGACTTCTCAGTTGAAGATAGGGTGAGTATCCTGAGTCTTTTCTCAGAAAGGTGGGCTCTGGAGTCAAACTTGTCTGGGTAAGAAGGGTGGGGTTTAACAGGTAGTGGTGCAGGAGCAAGCCATGCAGGCAAAGGAGATGGCTGGAGCACAGAAAGACTCTGTAACTGGGAAGCCCAGGGAAGGTTTGCAGAAGGTGAGGAGGGGACTGACTGACTTTGGCTGGGGTTCCATTGGTGAAGGTGCTACCAGATGCTGACTGGGAAACAGTGCTCAGGTTTGATGGGGAAGAGTAGGGCTCTCTTTGGTTTCAGGCAGTGGACTCACTAGACTTTGAGACTTATCACAGTTGTGACTATGCTCTGTGTGATTATGTGATTGGTGTCTGCCTCCCCTACTGTCCTGGGCACGGTGCTTCCTTCTGCTCACCTCCGTACCCCAGTACTGCTTTGCTCAGTGCATATGCAGTGCATGAATGGGTGGATGAGTGGATGAATTAATGGTGTGAGAGTAGAGAGAGATGTTTGGACAATGTTTCTATCAAATGTGAGCTTTGGTGCTTGATGTGATTCTCTTCCAAGGTTTCATTTTTTTGCTCATCAGTTGTCATCAAACAGGGATGAAACAGACATTGTGTGGGTCAGTCATTCCTGTGCTTAGGCAGATCAGATCATCTGGGCTATCCAGTGAGGTTGTCAAATGGTGTTTGGCACCTGCCACTCCATTGTCCCCTCATCATCTCACTGTTTGACCTGAAGCAGCTTAAAATGATGTAAAATCATGCCTTTTGGAATTAGAGAAAATGATTCAGAGTTTAGCTCTACCTCTCTTTAGCGACGAGCCTCTTAGAAAATCACTCCTCTGAACCTGGTCTCCTCATCTACAGAATAGAAATGATCACAAAGATCTACTTCATAGCACTGTCGTGACAACTGGATAACTCTTAGGATCAGTAAAAAGGGTCTGGCATAGAGTAGGTACCCTTTAGTTTACCTTTTATGTTTCATTTTGTATTTTCTCATTTTGTACTTTAAAATCACAAGAAAGCAGTCCTTGTATATATTTTCCTCTGATTTCAAATGTTCATTTTCAGTATAGAAAATTTGGTCTATGCAGAGAAGTCTAAAATAATTAATAACATTATCTTACCAACATTATCATTTTATGTGTTACTTCTAGTATTTTCTCTATACATGAGAAATTTACTGATTTTAAGTAGATAGTTGCCATTCAGAACAGGAGAAGCTACAAAAAGGTGGGCAGTGAACACTAATTCTCCCTCCTTTCCCTGCCCTAGCCACAGGTTCCTCTTTCCTGGGTCTTAGGGACCCTCCCAGAGATAGTCTAAGGATTTCAGGACATCCAATTAATGTTCACATTGTCTCCTACACAAATGCTAGTATGGCCATGGTGTTTTGTGCTGGAGGCTACCCTTAAGTGAGTTTTCTTTTAGCTCTCGTAGATGTTTCCATGGGACAAGGCCAGATAGGGCTGTGGTGACAGGTTCTGAGAGTTCAGCAAGGCTTGGTCTCTGGTGCATATTTTTACTCTTTGAACTGAAAATCTTGCAAACAACTAAACAGGTGTTCAGATTCTCAGTCTCAACCGTTTCCACAGTTGCTCAAGCGAGGAACAGAGCTGCAGGCAGTTGGGGCCACAGACAGGGTGGTCACAGACAGAATTCAGGTTCCCTCAACTTTGCATTGACCCCTAGGGCCATGTTTTCTAAACTGACGATTGGAAAGTGTGGTCTGACATGGAAAGACTATTTTGCAATTGAGATTGACCCAAAAAGTCAGACATGTGTGCCCCCTAGAATGTTCTGGACTGAAGGCCAAGGCCCAAATCAAACTGGTCCACTCTAAGATCAATCCTGTCCCAGCCTCCACTCTCAGGACCACAGCCTAGCTCTCCCCCACCCGCCAGCTGCTATCACAGAACTTCCCCTCTGCATATCAGGTTTCTATCTGGTTAGCTTTGCTCCATCCATGCTGTCACCAGCACATACTTTCAGACTGGTGTGAAGGTCCTGCCCCCATAGCCTCTCTGCCTCTGCCTTCTGTTTATTGATCAACCCATGCACACTGAGGACTTGACCCTATAAGGAGCCCAGTGGACACAGAGGGAATAAAGGAGGGTGGATTCATTCAAAGCAATTTGGTTCAGCAATTAAGACACTGGTTAAGAAAGCTGCATTCCATATGGAGGTACCTGGTTTCCAGTCCTGGCTCTGTTATCAACTGCAACTTTCTGATAACAGGAGGCAGTAGGTGATGACTCAAGTAGCTGGGTTCCTGCCATCCACATGGATGACAAGACTGAGTTCCTGGCTGCAGGCTTCAGCCTGGCCTAGTCCTGGCAATTGTTGGCATTTAGAGAGTGAATCAGTGGTTGGAGCTCTCTGTTCATCTCTTTCTGCCTCTGGATAATTAAAAAAAAAAAAAAAAAAAAGCTAATCTCCAGAGAATAGAGAATAAACTGATCCATTTGAGACACCTCATCTGTAAAATGGGTATTAAATAATATAATGAATATAACACTACCTTGTCATCTATAAGGTGTCACACAAGCATAATAGTCTTAGTTTTTTTTTTTTTAATTTATTTGAAAGGCAGAGTTACAGAGGGGGAGGGGAAGAAGGAAGGAAGAGAGAGAGAGAGAGGGGGAGAGAGAGAAGGAGACAGAGAGAAATATCAATCTTCCAGCTGCTGGTTCCAAATGGTTACAACAATCAGGGCTTGATTAGACCAAAGTCAAGGGCCAGGACTTCCATCCAGGCTCTCACATGGGTGGCAAGGGTTCAGACAATTTGACTATCTTCCACTGCTTTCCCAGGTGCATTAACAGGGACTCAAACCATTGCCAATATGGGATGCTGGCACTGAAGGTGGCGGCTTAATCTGCTGTGCCACAGCACTGGACCCTAGAATCTTATGTTCTTTTAAAAATTTTTTATTTATTTACTTGAAAAAGAGGGAGGTGAGAGGAAGAAGGAGAGAGAGAGAGAGAGAGAGAGAGAGAGAGAGAATGAATCTCTTCCATCCGTTGGTTCGCTCCCCAAATGACTGTTACAGCCAGAGTTGGGTCGGGCTGAAGCCAGTAGTCAGGAGCTTCATCAGGGTCTCCCATGCTGTTGCAGGGACCCAAGCACTTGGGCATCTTCTGCTGCTTTCGCATTAGCAGGGAGCTAGATCAGAAGTGGAGGAGCTGGTTCTCCCGTATGCCACAGCGCCGGCCCTCCACAAACTTTTTTTATTTATTTTTTTAATTTTTTTTTAATTTTTTTTTTTTTTTTTTACAGGCAGAGTGGACAGTGAGAGAGAGACAGAGAGAAAGGTCTTCCTTTGCCATTGGTTCACCCTCCAATGGCCGCCGCGGCTGGCATGCTGCGGCCGGCGCACCGCACTGATCCGATGGCAGGAGCCAGATACCTATCCTGGTTTCCCATGGGGTGCAGGGCCCAAGCACTTGGGCCATCCTCCACTGCACTCCCTGGCCACAGCAGAGAGCTGGCCTGGAAGAGGGGCAACCGGGACAGAATCTGGTGCCCCGACCAGGACTAGAACCTGGTGTGCCGGTGCCGCAAGGCAGAGGATTAGCCTATTGAGCCGCGGCGCTGGCCCACAAACTTTTTGAAGTACTCTTGTATTTCCTGCTAATTGATGATTAAGTCCAGAGGCTTGCTAATGTACGTTGAACAGATTTTTAAATTCAGTACATCATAAGCAGTTTTCCATGTCATTTGGTCTCATTCTACATCACTTTTAATGATTATAGAGCTATGGACTGTATACATATATAAGCATGTATTTGGCTGGTCCCCTATTGTTGGACATTTAGATAGTTTCTGATTTGTTGCTATTGAACAACTCACTGACAGCCATCCCTGTGGTCTGATCATTTTCCCAACTTCTGTTAGTTCCTGCGGATGGTGGATGCCTGCGCCAGTTTCCTCACAGAAGCCTTGAACCCAGAAAACTGTGTTGGCATACTGAGGCTGGCCGACACACACTCCTTGGACAGTCTGAAGAAGCAGGTTCAGAGTTACATCATTCAAAACTTTGTGCAGATCCTGAACTCTGAGGAGTTCCTTGAACTTCCGGTGGACACTCTGCACCACATCTTAAAGAGTGACGATCTATACGTGACGGAAGAGGCGCAGGTGTTTGAGACTGTGATGAGCTGGGTCCGGCACAAGCAGTCAGAACGACTCTGCCTGCTCCCCTATGTCCTGGAGAATGTGCGCTTGCCGCTCCTGGACCCCTGGTACTTTGTGGAGACTGTGGAAGCAGATGCTCTCATCAGGCAGTGCCCAGAGGTCTTCCCGCTGCTCCAGGAAGCCAGAATGTACCATCTTTCTGGCAATGAGGTAAGTCCAAGGTGAGGCTGTGTATTTAGCCAGTGCAGCCAGGGGCTCACAGATACAAGGAAGCTGGGTCACCTACTCTTAGGACTTTAAGTAGTTTGAGCAATTTCAGGAGCCCTGCATTCTTGATTTCTAAATTGGGGAAGATACTACATTTCCAGACAAACATTGAGAGGATTAGGCAAGCGTCATGCTTGGCCCAAACTTCCTCCTTCCCACGCGTAAGGGCAGGGCATTGATGAGGGGCCAACACACAAGCAGACAGGGAGGTGTCTGCCCAGTCACCATTTCACAGGGGTGCTGCTCTCCTGGTTTTCCCTCTCCAGTGAAGCCTTGTATGTCTTGGGTCTACTCTGACATTTTACCTTGGTTCACTCTCATCACCTCCTTCTTGAATTTCTGAAGGTTTCTCAGATCACATCTCCCAGCCCCTAGTCTAGCCTCCCTCTCATTCATTCACTAGGTGGGTTATCTAAACCTCAAGTCTGGAGTGGATGCTAGGCTAAGTGGTTAAGACATCTGCGTCCCGTATGGACTACCTGGGTTAAATGCCTATCTCTGGCTCCTATCTCCAACTTCCTGCTAATGTGTACCCTGATGGCTCAAGTAGTTGGGTTCTTGCCACCCAAGTGGGAGACCTGAATTGTAATCTTGGCTCCAGGCTTTGGTCTTTCTCAATCCCAGCTGTCTCTGTCATTTGGGGAGTGAACCAGCAGATGGGAGATCATCTGCCTATCTCTCTACCTCTCCAATCAGTCAATCTGTCAATCAAATAAGCATTTCCTGTAAAAAAAATAAAACTGGGTTTGACCACCCCTCTCTTGGGCTTACCATCAGTTTGTGCACATGCGCACCAACATGTGTACAAGGAGGTCACCATACACTGGTTCTGGGATACCTACCAAGACCTGTTCATTAAGTCAATGGTAGAAACGACCACGGTGGCTCAGGAAGTGTCTGTTACGGCTCCTCAGGAGCCTCTTCCTTTTTCTGTGTGTTCTTTTCTGGTTCCCCGTTTTCCTTAGCTCCATCACTCTGCAAACATACCCGTAAATGTTTGGTTGAATTTGCTAGAGTCTAGCATTTTATTTATGAGAAAGGTTTTAACTCAGGTTATCTATTTCTTCTACAGTAAGTTTTGGTAGCTTGAATCTTTTGAAGAATTTTTCCATTTCATATAGATTGATGAATAAAGTTGTTCACACAACTCTCTCATTATCCATTTAATTTCTGTGGAATCTATAATGATGTGATATCAGATATTAGTGATTTGTGTGTCCTCTTTTTTTCCTGATCAATTTGGTTAGAGGTTTATTAATTTTATTGATTTTCCTCAAATAACCAAAGTTTCTTCTGTTGCTTTTCTGTTTTCTATTCCATCTATTTCTGCCCTGATTTTGATTATATTCCTTCTTTCTTCTGCTTACTCTGGGTTTAATTTGCCCTTCTTTCTCTGATGTCTTAAGGTGAAAACTGAGGTCCTTGATTTGAGACCATTTTCTTTTTCTGATATTGTCCTTAGTGTTATAAATTTCTCTTTACAAATTACTATAACAACACCCATATGCTTTCTTTAAAAAAAAAGATTTATTTTACTTATTTGAAATACAGAGTTACAGAGAGAGGTAGACACCGAGAGAGAGAGGTCCCCCATCTGCTGGTTCACTCCCCAGATGGCCACAACGGCTGGAGCTGTGCCGATCCGAAGCCAGGAGTCAGGAGTTTCTTCCAGGCCTCCCACAAGGGTGCAGGGGCCCAAGGACTTGGGCCATCTTCCACTGTCTTCCCAGACCACAGCAGAGAGCTGGATCGGAAGAAGAGCAGCTGGGACTAGAACCCACACCCACATGGGATGCCGGTGCTTCAGGCCAGGGCCTCAACCGCTGCACAACAGCACCAGCCCCCCCACCCCAATATATTTTCATATGCTGTGCTTTCATTTGTCACAAATAATCCTAAGCACACACTAACTCTATGCCAGGATATGTATCAGGCACTGCAAAACAGTCTCTGCCTTATTAAGCTTTGGTCTGTTAGAGAAGATGGGGCATTTAGTAAATAACAGGCGAAGTGTTGACTGATGGGAGAGCCCAGGCAACCACTTGGGTCCTATCCCAGGCTGGATATGTGGGTCCTGGGAGACAGCTCAGCACTGGGTCTCAGAGCCTGGATATGATGGCAAACAGGTGTATCTCTGCCACAGCTTTCAGCCCAAAGCTAGTCTTTGTTTCTCATTTCCTGAAATGCAGATGATAAAGGCTTTCCTCTGATATCAAAGGCCCCTGCCTTGTCTTCTACAACACTTGTATGGTGAAATATTTTCACTTCTTTTTGTATTTGCAAGGTTCTAGAGATAGGGTGGGGTGGCTTAGGAGAAAGAATTCTGATATCTGAAAAATCTATTTGTGGAAACCCAGGATTGGAGTCAGGTGGACCTAAGTTTTTATTTCCAGTGCATTGTGAACTTGGGCAAGTCACTTGGCTACCTTGAGGCTCAGTCCTGATCTATCTCATAGAGGTAACAAAGGCAGCTAACTAAAAGAGTGGTTTTGAGAATTAAACAGGCAATGCATGAAATGCACTAAGCACAGTGTCTGGGACCTGGTCAGTGACCCACAAGTGGAAACTGCCGCCATTCTCACTGAGCTCCTTTATGGGTGCCTGGTCTTCCAAAATAAAGCATTTTCTTTCTCTGGGGCTAAAACCTCTCTTTTTACCATGCCCCATGTTTTTGTTTCCTTCTTTCCCCAAGTCTTGCTGAAGGCATTTTCTCATTTCCATTTTGTAATCTGGGCAACTGAACCAACCAACCACCACGAGCTCCTCACTGGGGTCTCATTGGCAGTTGCTTCCCTGAGACTCCAGTCCACTCACGGTTTGAATAACCTTGGTTTACTCCAGATGACAGCAGTGTAAGCCTGGCGGCTACTTTTCTCCCCTGGACCTTGATTTCCCAAAGGTTGGTCCTTCTTGTTCTGTCATCATCTCTCCCTTGAAACCTTGCCCATTGGCCAAGTTGATGGCAAAGTATGGACATTTTAGGATCCTAAAAGCCAACGTCAGTCTGCATTTGTTGAGGAGTGGCTGGCCCCCTCAGTGAAGGGGGCCTTTACTGGAAGAGCTCTTTAAAAAAAAGATAAAAAGATGTATTTATTTTATTTGAAAAACAGAGCTACAGAGAGAGAGGGAGAGATAGAGGCTGAGAGATCACTCCCCAAATGCCCGCAACAGCTGGAGTCAGGAGGCAGGAGCTTCTTCCAGGTCTCCCTTGTGGTGGCAGGGGCCCAAGGACTTGGCCCTTCATACTGGAAGAGTTCTTATGGGGCAGAGGAAAGTTACTCCTTCATTTTCTTTCCTCCTTAATTCCATGTTGGTTTATACCAAAGGTTGCTCTTATGTGCATGGTGTGGGGAGAGTGGTGCAGACGCTCCATTTCTGACAGCCTTGTTAAAGCAATACGGTACTTTCTCTCTGGTCCTTTAGTATAGGCCTCTGGACAATGAGCTGGCAGTAAACAACCATCCACTCTGGTTTTTTTTTTTTTTTTTTTTTTTTTTGGACAGGTAGAGGTTATTAGACAGTGAGAAAAGATGAAGACATGAGAGACAGGCTCTCCATCCGTGGCCACACCCTCCACATAGGATTGCTACGGCTGGTGCTGCGCCAATCCGAAGCCAGGAGCCAGGTGCTTCTCCTGGTCTCCCATGGGGTGCAGGGCCAAAGTACTTGGGCCATCCTCCACTGCACTCCCTGGCCACAGCAGAGAGCTGGCCTGGAAAAGGGGCAACCAGGACAGAATCTGGCGCCCCGACCGGGACTAGAACCTGGTGTGCCGGTGCCACAAGCGGAGGATTAGCCCATTGAGCCACGGTGCCAGCTTCCACTCTGTTTTTAACAATCTGAGAATGAACTGGTTAGGCCTGATTGTTGCATGCAAATACTTGGCACACATTGGCAAACACTTCCCTACGAATGCGACAGACTTACATAGCTCTGACTTCAGAGTCATGCCTGTGGGGTTAGTATTTTGCCAATATAGCTGATCTTACAATTTGGCAGCAATGCCACCTCTCGGGGTGCTGTGCTTCTGAGTTACGGGCAGGTCTCAATCCCTTCATCCCATCAGCTAGGAAATTGTATTAGTTGCCAATTACTGTGCAACAAATTACCCCTGCAGTTAGTAGTTTACAACCAAGGTGCCTTATCTCATAGGCTCTGAGTGTCAGGAATCTAGGAGTGGTTTAGCTGGGTGGTCCTGGCTCAGGGTCTCTTAGGAGGTTGTAGTCAAGCTGTTGGCTGGGGTTCAATCATCTCAAAGCTCACCTGGGGTTGAAGGATTTACTTGTAAGCTCACTCACAGGACGGTTGGCAGGGACTGGTTTCTTGCTGCCTCTCGGCTGGAGGTCTCAGTTTCCTGCCACGTGGACATCTCCATCAGAAGCTGGCTTTCTCCAAAGGACATGATCTAAAATAGACCAAGGAAGGAACCAAGATGGAAGCTGTAGTGACGTTTATAGCCTAATTTCGGAAGTGATGTGCCATCATGTCTACTGGAATCTAGGGGTCATAGAGACCAATTCTGGAACATATTGGAAAGAACTATGCAGGGTATAAAGACCAGGAAGCAGGGATTACTGGGGGCCTTCATGGAGTTTGGGCTCGAGGGACCTGCATTGCCTGGCTTGCTCATTCATTGATTTACTCACCACTCATTTATGAAACCAACCTCCATAGAAGCCCACAAGCTCTAAGCACTGTTTTTGGTGCTGAGGGTCCATTGAGGCAAAAGGGCTGCTCCTGCCATCGGGGAGTTTCCAGTAAATTAGAGAGGATTAGGAAAAGTGCTGTGATGGAGAAATGCAGGGTTATGGAACACATGTAGAGAGGCAGGGGTGACTTCCTGGAGAAAGGGACAAAGTGACGATGTACATAATTTCTACTGGCTTAAAATGTGAGTGGACTGGGGAGAGATCACTGGGAGATCAGGCAGCAGGCAGGAGCCCAGGAATTTCCAGCATCAGAAAGCCATCTTGCACAGGTCAGGCCTGCAGAAAAAGATGCCAGTCCCAGCGTTCCGAATGGAACACTTCAGAGAGGAAGCAGATGTTGGGTTCAGAAGGGAATCACTTCCGGGGCGAGAGCTGTTCTCAGAGCACTGCCGCACCAGACCAAAATCCCCTCAGAAAGAGGACCAGACTGGTGCTGGAGGTTGTGCCCCTGCCGTGGGGAGGGAAGATTGAGGGACAGACACCAGGGCTGATCGACAGCCTAAGAGAGAAAATGCAGCCAAGGAAAGTTTGTCTGAGGCACTGACTTATGCCTCAGCTCCTGTCCTGCCCACTGTGTGCTCTCACTGTGCCTCCAAGTTCCTGGGAGCAGTGCCCCCACCTTGACCCCAGCTAGCCTTTCTGCTGTCAGTGTCCCCACACTCAGCCCACTGCCTAGAATTTGTCCTGCCCACACAAACCCACTCTTTTCTGATGACAAGGAAGGCAGAGTCTTGCCACAGACTTTAGGGCCTTCCAGAATACAGGCTGGAAAATTTATAGCAGCTGGCCCTTTGGTGCTGAAAAACAAACACAAGAACAAAGGCTGTGGAAAAGTCAAGTGCGGGCCTTGACGGGTCTGATTACTTGTGGCCATTAGTTGGATTCACCACTTGAGGTCCCAGTCTTTGTTGCTGTCACCTGTTTGTCATCAACTGTGGACAAAGTCAAGAGTTCCATAGTCAGTGCTAGGTCAGCCTGACCTTGTAGGACTGCTTTGGCCACCTGGCAAAGGAGCGCTGCCTCTGCCACCCATCAGTCCACCTCCGGAACCTTCCCCATGGAGCCCCGGAGGCCAGGGACTGGGTGGCATCAGGAGGAAGTCAGCTCTTCCTTTTTCGAGTCGTATCAATCAGGCATCTACTGCCGCTCCCAGACACGCCTATCCACTGAGGGCTGCGTTTGCAGGAGTGTTGCCCATCCCCCTCCCTCATGCTCTCTTGAGTGCTCCCAAGGCCCTGATGGCATGGAAATGATGACAAGCCTTTTCCAGAGGTTGTGTTGTCTCTTTAAGGTTATGGCCATAGTTGATGAAATCTGATGTGTTGACTTCCATACCTCTGTCTCTTTAGCCAAGTTCCAACACCTGTGGGGTTGATTTCTTCACTTGTTCAAGGCACTGACGCGTTGGTACTGGAACCAGGCCTCGATCTTCCTGGCCACATCCTGTTCCCTCCTGGTCTTTCCCCCTAAGCCTCTGAAAGTTGTGTGGGGTCACTGTCTAAGACCTCTTTGCCAGAAGAAGCCTGGCAGTGAGCATAATCTGAGCCATCTTCAAGAAGTTGAATCCAGAGGAGAATAGGAAGTAGCCGGAAGTGAAATTCCAGGGTTTTCCTTTCAGACCAGACAGGAAGGGAGAGGCAGGAAGTGCGTTTGAGGGTAAATAGACCCCGGGCTTCTTAAGATAGAAACAAAACAACAAGTAACGCTTGTTGAGTACCTGTTATGCGCCCTACATATATCATCCTGTTTAATGTTAACAGCAAACCTATGAGGTCATCACCACTGAAATCCCCATTATACAGATCAGGAGGCAGAGGCTCCAGGAGGTGAGGTGCCAGGGTCGCCCAGTGGCAGATCGGGAAGTTGGGCCCTGCTCTGTGTGGCTCTGCAGCGGGAACTCTGACGCCGCAGCAGCTCACCGCGCCTGCATGTCCCTCCGCCGCTTTCCAGATCATCTCAGAGCGCACCAAGCCCAGGATGCACGAGTTCCAGTCTGAGGTGTTTATGATCATTGGCGGCTGCACTAAGGACGAGCGGTTTGTGGCGGAGGTGACCTGCCTGGATCCCCTGAGGCGCAGCCGCCTGGAGGTGGCCAAGCTGCCACTGACCGAGCACGAGCTGGAGAGCGACAATAAGAAGTGGGTGGAGTTTGCGTGTGTGACTTTAAAAAACGAGGTCTACATCTCAGGTAAGCAGAAGCCGCGGGGCCACGGCCAATCCCTGGTAGCACCCTCAGGGTCCGGCGTGCCAGCCAGGCAACCTCTGAGAAGTCCCCGTGTATGCAGCGTTCCAGCGCTGACTGAGTCCGGCTATGGGGCCAGGAGCCCGGCATGCAGATGGTGGCATCGCCCGCTAGGCCGCAACACGGGCTCCCTTCAGTATTCCTTCTCAGTTTCCTAGAACTTTTTCCAGATTTACTTTTCTCATTATCTTGATGAATCTAATTATCTAATTTATCTTGTCGGATTCTTAAAGTGCTGAAGGCACTGAGCATATGGGTTACCCAGGAGAGTGTTGACATTTGCAAAAATGCATCTTCTTATCCATGCTTAGGCCATGCTGTTCCAGTTAACCAGGTCATGCTTCCTGAGATACAATTATGATTTTTTTCTTTTTTTAATAGAAGTTGCATACATTTCTTTGAAAGATCATAGTTATTTTATAATTTTTATCATCACCTAAATGGGGATAATAGCACAATGTTTTGAATAAAGCCTCTGAAAGGTACACAATTCAGAGAAAAACGGCCAAACTATTTAAAGAAATTCACAGGAGAGCAAGCTAGGCCTCTCTCGGAGCCAGGGAAAACCAAGCTGTGACATCGTTTTTCTCCATCAGGCTATTTAAAACCAGCCAACCAAAATGCCCTCCTGACCCCCGCTGCGGGTGGAGTATGAAGAAAGGCCGATCAGTCCAGCTCTGGAGGATGCGCTGATGGCTACTGTGACAGTTCAGGGTGCTCGTGCCTTTGACCTTGGCTGCCAGCCTGGAGAGACAGCCCCACTGCGGGATGTAGTCGGTGACATCCATCACCCTCCAGCTGAGAAGTCACGCTTTTGCTTTGAGCCACTGGTGGTGCTCCAGGCCGACAGGGAGCCAGTATCACTAAGTTATGAAAAATACCTCATTAAAGTCACCCAGCACGTCAGCTCCCCTTTGCCTTGGTCACTCTCCCTAATCACTACCAAAGTTTATTGAGAGAGTTGCCTTGAAAAATATATTTACCAATTCATTCTCAACTGACCTTTTGTGAGCATCTCACACTTGTATAATAAAAACTACCCTAAAAATAGGACAAGTCCCACTTACACATTTACAGAGATCAGAGATGCGAACCAAGAGAATTTTGTAAGATCCCCTGGTGATGTTTCACGGGGTTGTGACTTTGCTTTTTTGTTTAGATAAATAAGCAATGTGAGAGCTGAAGCTTCTAATTTGCCTGCTGGCCAAGGCCCCACCATCCCTGCCCCCCTTCCTTACTGCTCCTCTGGGCACAAACCCTGGATTCAGTCTCCATCTAACCTTCACCCACTCAAGCTTTTAATTTATTTACTTATTAAGAATTTATTTATTTATTTGAAAGGCAGAATTACAGAGAGAGGGAGAGACAGAGAGAGATCTTTCATCTGCTGGTTCACTCCCTAAATGGCCGCAATGGCCAGGGCTGGACAGACCAAACCCAGGAGCCAGGAGCTTCATCCAGGTCTCCCTTGTGGATACAGGGGGCCCAAGCACTTGGGCTATCTTCAGTTGTTTTCCCAGGAGCATTAGCAGGGAGCTGGATTGGAAATGGAGCAGCCAGGACTTGAACCAGTGCCCATATGGAATGCGGGCACTACAGACAGCAACTTAACCTGCTGCCCCACGGTGCTGGCCCCAACCCACCCAAGCTGACTGGGATCCTGTCTCCCTGAAGCTTTCTTTGGAGCCCACTCACATAGCCGCCCCTTCTCTGAAGTGTGAGGTGGCCCGGGAAACAGCCTGGCCCAACCTCACATGGTGTCTCCCTGTGCCACTGCACTTGCTCTGTGTTCCCCAGGGGACCGCACTCATCTCCAGGGTTTCTCTTGTCTCCCCATAGCAGCAGGCTTGGGACCTCGCACTTCTGGCTGCGTGGGAAACTGTGGGAGAAGCTGTGCTGCCAACACACCTGATGTTTCCTAAATGCTTTGTTTCTCTTGTAGGTGGCAAAGAGACACAGCACGATGTTTGGAAATATAACTCTTCCATCAACAAATGGATTCAGATCGAGTATCTGAACATAGGCCGCTGGAGGCATAAGATGGTGGTGCTGGGTGGCAAGGTGTATGTGATCGGAGGGTTCGACGGCTTGCAGAGGATCAACAACGTGGAGACCTACGACCCCTTCCACAACTGCTGGTCGGAGGTACGGGAGATAACTTCTCTGAGTAACTCTGTCTGTGTTATTACTTCAACAGTTTTATAAAAGGTACAATAGTGCCCCTCATCCATGGATTCAGTTTCCCTGCTTTGCATTATCCACTGTTAGTCGGGGGCTGAGAATGTGTACCATTAGATATTTTGAGAGAGAGACAGACGGGGGGAGGGGGTGAGATCACATGAGATAACTTTCATGAGGTGAGGGTAGATTGTTATAATTGTTCCAGTTTATGATTAGCTATTGTTAAACTCTTCCTGTGACTAATTCATAAATTAAACTTTGTCACAGGTTTGTCCTAGGGTATTTCAAAAACTTAAAAAAAATTTGAAGTTCAAAAAATGTGTAGAAAAATGGAATGAAAAGGTAAGTTTACTTTGGTGCACAAAAAATTTTGAAATTCATGGAGAGTTTTTTTTTCATAATACTTATTGTCATGAACTTTTTGAAGACCCCTCATTGCATGGATTTCAAATATTTTACAGTAAAAGAAATGTGCTTTAATAAAGATTTATCTATTTGTTTGAAAGTCAGAGTGATAGAGAAAGGAAGAGAAAAACAGAGAGAAATCAGGAGATATTCCATCCACTGGTTCACTTCCCAAATGGCCGCAACAAGCAGGGCTGGGCCAGGCTGAAGCCAGGAGTCTGGAGCTCCATCTGGGTCTCCCACGAGGGTGGCAGGGCCTCTGCTGCTGCTTTCTCAGATGCATTAGTAGGGAGCTGGATTGGAAGTGGAGTAGCCAGGACCAGGACCCGAACTGGCTCTCTGATATGGGATCACCGACAGCGACTTAACCCATTGTGCCACAATCTGGCCCTATACATGTACTTTTTAATTCCATTTCCATGAGCTTTTTGAAGTTTCCTCTTGGTACATTGTACACATATATGGGGTTTGGTGCTATCCACAGTTTCAGGCATTCATGCAACATCTTGGACAGCCTCCCCCGTGGACAGCAGCATCCACTGTACATGCCTGCAGTGGCACTTGGCTTTCTCTGCCCCCACGGAGCACATTTTTGGTGTCTCTGAGTTTCCTTCCTGCTTTCCATCACTCCTGCATTGCTGACCAAGTCACAGCAACAACGAGCTTGCAGGTAGTAAAGGTACCTGCCCTGTGTTGGTCGGAACCGTGGGCTCACCCTGCCCTGAGACGGCGGATCTTTTGTCCTGAATGTCTTGTCCCAGACTCTCTTCCAGATGCCTTCTGTGCTGTTCTCCCCAGATATGTGGGGATCCGTTTACGAAGCCAGAGTTTGTGAAGCCAGAGTCATTCGCTCATATTTAGAAGTTGGCTCTGATTTATTTTCCCATTAACGATGACCCATCCACACACCTGCATGCCAGACTTTCGCAGTGCAGCCTTGGTTATAAATCAGACCCTGGAAGAGGAAAGTGATCTCACCTGGGGTATTTCAAGTTCATTCCCAATTTCAAATTTCCTTTCTCCTGATAAGATCATATGTCAGAGTGTGTTCTAGCTTTGCGGAGGGTAAAACACTGCAATTGTACACATAAGCAGGGGCAGTCCAGTCACTGTGACATCTGGCCAACGCTTGGCAAATGCCCTGAAAAATGCCAAATGAGGAGCTCCTAATATTTCTGGAGGATGTGCCCAAGGTTTTCTCAGATCATTAAGTCCATCACAGAGCTGCTCTGAGAAGTCCTCTTACAGTCCTGGGGCTCGCAGGGTGCAAGCACTGGCATGGCTTGGTCTCCAAATCTGCAGTGTTGCCCCAGAGTGGGAGAGGCCGCCTACCTGTGGCTACCTGCAACCCTTATTCCAGTATTTCTCCCTGGATTTAAGCACTAGGGACAATGAACGGTGGCACATAGCAGGCCTCCAGCAAATTGTGTTTGAAAAAATGAGCATGTGAATGAACATGAGTATGCATGCTTGAAAACTCCCAGCATGCCTGCCTCACCTGTGTAAACACTCACTCCTGCCTGCTCTCTGCTTCCTGAATTCAATACATGCCAACTCTAGTCTGCCTGGAGCCTGGAGGGAGGGTGGGACATGGCTTCATTCTTTCTGTATCTTAAAGGGAGGTCAAGTTCATGAACCTTGTCACTTCAGGCAAAGGATGCCCAGGTTTGTGTCCCATTGGTGTCAGGGCTATGTCCTGTGAGCCCCTGTGGCAATCTGGGTAATGTGACTGACAGCTTCTTCCTGCCCCTATGCCTCTGCAGGCTGCACCCCTCCTTGTCCACGTCAGTTCCTTCGCAGCCACCAGCCATAAGAAGAAGCTCTACGTGATTGGAGGAGGGCCCAATGGGAAACTGGCCACAGACAAGACTCAATGTTATGACCCTTCAACCAATAAGTGGACTCTAAAGACGGCCATGCCGGTGGAGGCTAAATGCATCAATGCAGTGAGTTTCCGGGACCGCATCTACGTTGTTGGTGAGTGAGTGATGGTTTCCTATGTGTCGGAGGCGAGGTCAATCTCCACCTATGCAGTCATGCAGGCAGAGCAGAGAGGGCCCTCCTGGGGTCACCTGTGTTCCTGGGAGATGTGGGCGGGGTAGAAAAGGAAGAGAAGATGGGTTTGGTCTAGACCTTGGTGGAACTACCTTGCAATCCTGGAGGCAGAATCAGCCCACATTTAGTAGGAGACTTCAAAAGGTTTACAGAAAAATGGAATTAAAGGTTAAGTTTGTTTTAGTGCAAAAAAAAAAAAAAAAAGTAAAAATCCATGCACATGGGGACTCCTCGAAAATGTGTATTATGACAAGGCTATGCATGAATTTCATAACATTTTTGCATCAAAGTAACCTTATCTTTTAATTCCATTTTCCCACAAATATCTTGGTGTTCCCTCATACAAAGCGGATTGACAGGGGAGAGTCAGAAGTGGCTATAAGAGCAAGGTTGTGTGGCAGGAGTTAGCAAATGCACAGAAACTGGAACATGCGCATTATAAGAAGTGCCCCCAAATGGTACCAGCATGGTTTTTTACTTTATGTTCATGGGCATTTTGCTCCCCTTACTTGCCCTGGAGGCTCTGAAGAGTTGCATTTAGTTGTGAGGAAAGTCTGGCCAGCCAAACCACAGTTGGCCCATCATTTTTAAGGATGTGGCTCTCCATCCTGACTGCACAGTAGAATCATGTAGGGAGCTTTTAACAAAACCCTGGGTAGGCCAGCCCTGTGGCTCACTAGGCTAATCCTCCGCCTGCGGCGCCGGCACCCCGGGTTCTAGTCCCGGTTGGGGTGCTAGATTCTGCCCTGGTTGCTCCTCTTCCAGTTCAGCTCTCTGCTGTGGCCCGGGAGGGCAGTGGAGGATGGCCCAGGTGCTTGGGCCCTGCACCGCGTGGGAGACCAGGAGGAAGCATCTGGCTCCTGGCTTCGCGCCAGCCGCAATGTGCCGGCCGTAGCGGCCACTTGGGGGGTGAACCAACGGAAGGAAGACCTTTCTCTCTGTCTCTCTCTGTCTCTTTCTCTCTTACTGTCTAACTCTGCCTGTCAAGAAAATAAAAAAATAAAATAAAAAAAAAAAACCCTGGGAAGCTGAGCTTTATCCCAGACCAAGGAAATCGTGATGGGACGGAGGGCACTCAGTGACTGCACACCTGTGTCCTCAAAAAGCTCCAGGTGATGTTCATGTGCAGCCAGGCTCGAGAACCACTGATTCAGGAGATGCCAGACAATAAGTGACTTCAGCGATTGAGAGCTCCTCAGAGAAGGCTTCCTTGAGGCAAAACACGGGCAGCGATCAAGGAAAATATACGGGGCTCCCTTGCTGCAGGTTTCTCGGAACTTTGCTTATTGTCAGCCTCATGCTGGCTTCAAAAGTCTAATCTCCACGTGGGCTGGTGTCCCGGCTCAAGTTCTGGCTGTGAAGAGATGCCACCCCCAGCCCTTGCCTCGGGTGAATGATCTCCACTTGCCGGCCCTCTGCCAGGTGCTTGATGCACATGGGCCTTCTGACTTCATTTCACCACCATGGTCTTGGGGCATATGGTCACAGATCGAAAAAGTGGCAGAGCTGAGATTATAGGCTGGGCCTACCTGAGGCACCAGGTGGAATTTATCCCAGGAAGCTATCTGGGGGTGCATTTGGCAGCTGTGTTCAGCCAGGTGTCCCTTGGGGTGCAGGATCTCAAGGCCACTGCACCAGCAACATGCCATCCCTAGGGGGTCTACTCTGGCATGCTGAGCCCCCAGCCTACTGTTTGTCTTGGCCTGTCTTGGTCTGACCTGGCCAGAGGAGAATTTTAAGGGTTAATGGGGAAGAAAGCCAGAACAGTGATGGAGTAACTGCTGTGTCTCCTCTTCCTTTTCAGGAGGGGCCATGAGAGCGCTGTACGCCTACAGCCCCCTGGAAGACAGCTGGTGCCTGGTGACCCAGCTGAGCCATGAGCGGGCCAGCTGCGGCATCGCGCCCTGCAACAACCGGCTCTACATCACCGGGGGGCGGGACGAGAAGAACGAGGTCATTGCCACGGTGCTGTGCTGGGACCCCGAGACCCAGAAGCTGACAGAGGAGTGCGTCCTGCCCCGCGGGGTGTCGCATCACGGCAGTGTCACCATCAGGAAGTCATACACCCACGTCCGGAGGATCGTGCCAGGAGCAGTGTCTGTGTGACCGCAGCAGGGGAGCCTGGAGACCCTGAGCACTCCCTCGGTGCCTCTGAGCCATGCACACTCCTGCTCGGCTGGCGTTTGAGGCCATACATCAAGGGCTGACTGTGGCTCACTATGGCACATCTTGGAGGTCACAGCTTTGGGCCACTGAGACAGCCTGGGATGTTTGAGTGACCTACCTCAGGAGGGAAGGCGAGAAGAAGGCACATACCTACTCTGGCCAGGTTCTATGCCAGGCACTTTTGCCTATTAACTCATTTTACTAGCATAATGACCTGCAGCCTGGATACTATCACTCCTGTTTTGCAGGTGCAGAAACAGTTTCAGAGGCCGAATGACTTGCCCTAGTGAGATAGCAAGTAACTAAGCCAGGCACCTAAAACCCCGGTTTTTCCTTTCCAAAGGTAGTGCCCTCCAGGCCGTGCTACTCATCTCAGAGCAGAAAAAACAAAAACAAGAAAAACCTGGCTCATTTCTTGTTCTGGCAAGTCTTGCTAGAAAACAGGGAAATTCAGGGGGTTCCCTTTCCATTTCTCCCCTCCGCCTCATTTTGAAACCACGGGAAACCCTTTGTGTTGGAGCCTTTTGGGCTCCTGGTCAAGGGCATCTCATCAGTTCTTCCACCTGACAGGTCTGGGGAGACAGGTTCAGGAAGGCCGATTTGCTTGGAGAGAGAGGACAGACTGTGTTCTGTTCTCCACCATTGAAGGCCTCTATTTTTTTTTTTTTTTAATTATTTGAAAGGCAGAGAGACAGAAAGAGCATGCACCCATCTGCTGGTCACTCCCCAAATGCCAGAGATGCCAGGTTGGGCCAGGATGAGCTGAAGCCAGGAGTCGGGAACTCAATCCTAGTTACTTGAGCCATCACTGCTGCCTCCCCGAGACTGCATTAGCGAGAAACTGGAGTCAGGAGCCAGAGCCGAGAACTGAACCCATTGTGGGACATAGGCATCTGAACCACTAGGCCAAATGTCCAGTTTGAAAGCCTATTTTTTTAAAAAATCATCACAGGATGGCCCACTGGGCACTGGAACTGCCAGACAGAACCAACGCAGTCCAGTGTCTCCATGTCCTGCAGTCGCATTGCCATTAGAAAAGAGGTGTCTGGAGACTCAAGACTACTGTGTTTATAGAAAGTAAACTTGTTAATACTGCTGGTCACTGCGGAAGTCTTGATGGATTAATTTCTTCTGTTTAGACAGTGATTTGGGTCCATAGTCCTGAGACCCCACTGACCTGGAACCCAAGATTTTAAGAATCTTTTAAGCCTTTCTATTTGGTTTTTGGATCATCCTGGCTGAATTGTGACCCAAAGGTCAGGGTCCGTCCTTCAGTCTCACAGAAGAGCTTTCCAATGAGCTCACTGGAAATTCATTCTAATCCCTGAGCTGGAGAAACAGGTTGAGAGATCCTGTTTCACACGCGGCAGTTCAACAGCCACAGGGCCAACAACATAGTAACTGCGTTACCCAATGTGCTTTATTTTCATTGCATGATTTAGATCCCCTTTATAGCATTTTATTTCACATCAGGTGTGGCACACTGAGCTCGTCAGGAAGGTATTAGAGTGGATGGATAGCGAATTTCATTTTCCTACAAAAGTGATGATTGGAAGAAGCTAACGATCAAAAGAGATTCTGACAATCGGGTGAGGTTTCTGTTTTCGCTGAGATCCTTGAGGAGAAGTGTAAATGCACGCTGATGTGTGGAAGATTCTGTGTTTTCGGGTCAAGATGACAGTTCTGCTCCCTGCTAAGTAAGATGGGACAATGCAAACCTATTTACGTATTTGTGGAAATGTGGAACACACTATCACTTACTCATGAGCACTAATGAGTGTCAGGAAGCTCTCAGCTGCAACAGTGCATTCTGGTTCAATTCAGCAGACATTCACATTGTGGAGAGGGCCTGAAGGAGACCCTGAATGACAAAGCCCCCTCCAGAGACACTCAGAATGGATAAAGAGGCCACGACTCCATATTCTAGCTTTCCCTTTCTCCAGGTTAGTTAGCAATGTGAAGTTGCAGGGTGGTTTCCAGGCCTCGATCACCTTTCACGGTGTCCCTGCGGGGAGCAGTGTACTCAGGTCAGCTAGTGGCGATGGCGTACCTTGTCTCTTGTATATTGTTCTCGGCCTCAGGAAAACTCAGTCTTATTCCCAAGACTGTTGCAGAGAAAAACTCCCCGAGGAGAACTCCAGTGACACCCTTAGCCCGCCCGTAGAACGTCCCCTCAGACAGCAGTCCTTGTGACGGAGCAGAGAGAGGTCCTTTTCTGAGAGCAACCAGCAAACCTGGAGCCCATGAGCGGGGCGGCCCTACCCTGGGCAGGTGAGGATGAGCATCTCTGAGTTACAAACCCGATTCCAGACGCAGGGCCCACATTTCAGGCCTCGTTCAGAATGCCCAAATGAAGACAAGGGAAGGACTCTTTAGGATTTTGTAGCACTGGATAAGCAGGTGAATTATAAAATCTTAAGTCCCTTGCACTCAGGAAATGCAGGTTCCCATTAGAGGCAGGAGGAAGGAGATCAGTACTCCTGTTAAGGAGAGCTAGAGTTCTGTGCTTGAACCTGCTGGTCTGTAGCTTCTAGTCAAAGAAGTCCTATCATTTTGGAGAAACTTTATAACAGTCATTAGGATTTAAGTTTCTAGGCACTAGCCAGGGCTGGGGGCTCCTAAAATCTAATTTCCATGCCAAGATAAGAAAGAAAAAAAAAAGAACCAAAGTTTGCAGCGCATTAGCTGTTATAACCCACACGGCCGGCCCAGGGGGTGTAATGCAGAGGCGGGGAGCGGGGGGCCCTGGGACTCAGGCAGGGCAGAGAGATGTTCCGGCACAGCAGGCTGGCATGCAGCAGGGCCTGTGAGTGGCTAGTGCACCCCTGCCTGGGAGCCAGAGGCTGGGGTAGAAGGAGGGGGTCAGGGTCTAAGGGTGAGATCTGGAAAACAACATCAAGAGCACTCGGGTTTGTGAGCCGGAGGGGCAGGGGAGATCCAGGGCCAGGCTGTCCAGGTAAGGAAACAAGGAGGAAACCCACTTCCTAGAGCTGAGGCACAAGTCAGAGCAGAACCAGCATCGGACCAGCTTTCTTGCGGCCTCTGAGCTGCCCGGCTGCGTCTCCCCTCCTGCTGGACCCAGGATCTTTGATGGAATAGAAACTGTGGGTGAGGCTCAGGGCCCCAGCTGCCAAGGCTGGTCAGAAACACCCCAGGAGCCAGGCACACCACGGCACCAACAGAAAAATGTCCTCCTCACAGCTTCCATCCCCCGTGGTCTCACTGACTTCAGGAAATGCACGCACACGGTGCCCTTGAACTCCAAGCAAGCCACGTGCTCAGGGAAATACCAATATCATCTCACAGCTGTGGAAGCATAGCTTTGCTATTTATAAAAGTCCTTGAGGTGCTCTTATCAGTGATTTACTTATCCTGCTTGGCTTGGAAAAACAAAAGTGCTCAGCGGAATTTCTAAAGGGGGTAACCCCCGCTGGAAAGTCTTTGATAAAGTCCTCACTTGAGAGTTGCAAGTCATTTTTCCCCTTAATATCTGGGCCATGTATTAGGTCTTCTAGTTTGAAGAGTCAACATTTATGGAAATCCTTATTTTTCTTAAAATATGGTTTCAGTAAAATCTACTTTGACAGGTCGGATTTTTGTATTTGTAGGTTTAGGTAGTCAACACTTGGCAAACAAAACTCTCTAAGTATTTTGATTACGTGAAGTTGTATTTTTGTAAATGATCAAACTAATTTTTTACAGGTAATATTTTATTTATTCAATAAAATATGTCTGGAATAACTAAGAATATGTTGTATATGATTTTTGTATATGATATGTATATAGTTTTTTTGCTTATTTTGGTTCATATGACTAAGTAGTATTTGAATAGAAATTAATTTAGGAGATGGAAATTGGAAACATTTCGTCTGGTTCAGGAGGGCTTAGGTAGGTTTGGAAATCAGATTTGTCAGGTTTGTGTAGAACAGTGAACAGCAGGTTCTTTCCCCTCCCGAAAGCTGCAGGGCCTCTCTTGTCACCAGCCTGATTGCAGACTGTGTGACTTCCATCCTGCTGGCCTCGCCGCTCGTCACAGGATGACTCCTGGTCCGGCCTCTCTGTCCCGCCTCTGCCAGCGCCCCCCTGTGCTGTGCCTCTCCAGCCGCGGCCCCTGACCTTGCGGCAGGAGAGGGAGCTGTGGTCCTGGACCACCGCACGCCCTGAGCTTGTGTCGTGTGCTCTGGGTTACACTACATGGTCCTGTGCACGTGGGAAGGAAACCTGAGGCTTTTAAGAAGCTCGGGGCTCCGTGACCAGCTTGGACCACCCCACTGAGCCCCCCTAGCAATAGATACTCTTGCTCTTCAGCCTTAGGGGCTCTGAGGGGAAACCTTGGGGAGCACAGCTCCGTCTCAGGGGTGGGGGGCACTCTCGAGTTGGTCCTGGGCTGTACAGCCAACAGCTGTGGGTCACAATGGGATTCTGTCTTCAGCTTTGCTGCTAAACTCTCCAATTCCCCTGCTGGGGAAATCACCGCAACAATAACCTGGCACCGCGCGCCATGTGCCATCTTTCCCTGGCTCTTCCGCCTGCTCCCGCTTCCTTCTGCTGGGCTGTCCATCCACCGGCCCAGGCTCTTTGGCAGGAGCTCAGTCCTCTCTCCGCACCTGGGAGACCATGCCTCATTTTCTGTTCCTGAATGCTGCCACAGCTCAAGACGCTTGATGCAAGGGACTAAGCAAGGCCTGGTCCCCCACACTCCCAAGCTGCGCGGCACCAGTCTGTCTGCTTGCTGGTCTCTGGTTTTCACTTCGTGTTTGTCTCTGGCACCTGGGATTTTCCTTTTCTCTTGAATGCTCAGATGTCTGCTGTGCTGTTTATTCCCTCGTGATAGGCTGCTTGACCGACTCTGGTCATCTGCGGGGGCCCTCGCCTGCTGCCTCCCCCGGGGTCTCCAAACACAGAAACTCACTGCTGCCCTTCTCTTGACTTCCGGCTGCCCCAGGCCCACAGTATATCTAGGTTCTCCTGATTCGCCAGCTTTGGAGCAAAAGCGGGTACAGAACTTCCCATCCATACTTTGTTTAGTATGGCTAACGCCAGGTGGAGGAATGGGGGCTGTGGCAGCCATGTGGAGACATCTGTAAGCAAGTACTCCCGCTCACACAGTGACACTAACCTGGTTCCTCCCACCTCAGCAGTAGAGAGAGCCGCCCATGGGGATAGAGTCGGACCTCATAGTCCCAACTGTTGTCCCTATAAGGAAACAGTCCTGTACCCAACTCTTCACTTGGTTTCCCAAAGGACATCAAAGATTAGCCTGGAACTGGTCAAGTCTTGACTGGGGACGGAGGGTGACAAAGGAAGAGGACCACAGAGAGAAACACTATTCTGGATAATGGGGGTGACAGAATTCAGCTATCCCTGAGAAGCGGTGTTTCTTCTTAGGAGAGATGTATGTGTATGCATACATGTATGTGTGTGCACACACATGCACACACACTGTTAACGCTAGATAAAGCCAGACATTTAAAATGGTGAAAAGGGATTTTACTCAGTAACTGCTGACTGACAGTCAAGGGAAGAGCTCAACTCCACTCTGATTTGTGCACAGGTGACTGGGCGTTGGCAAGGAGCAGGGAGGAGTCGGGGCGGGGTGCAGGTGGACTGAAGCAAGTGAACACTCCCAAGAGGCAGCCAGAGGGAGGAGGTCAGGCCAGCTGCACCTGCTGGTGGCCCGGACCAGGGAGAGGACGCTGTCCTCCATGGAGCCTGGGAGACAGAGGCCCTTCCTTCCTGACCATGACTCTCATCTTGGAGAAAGGACCTTGAGAAAGAGCCTCTGAGTCGTCAGAGATGCGCCCAGTGACTTCTCTGCAGGACGACCATGAGCCTTGAGCAAGAGGGGGTGGGGGAGGTCAGGGCCCCTCGGCAGGCCTTGGCCAGAACCAATGGCAAATTCTTCTGACAGCCTTGAGCTTTTCCAGACAACAACTCAGAAGGGGCTGAGTCATCCCGGGGCTGTGGCCTTGGGCTCCCAGAAGCCGCACTGATGTCTGTGCAGAGGAGTGGGCATGAGTGCTGAGAGCTCAGGCGTCCAGGTACACCTGGTTTATGAAACAGATACAGGTGAAACCCAGGTGTACCCACCACCCCACCACTTGCACTGCTGTCGGCAGGCCCACCATGAGGCCAGGAGTGCCAAAACCCATCCTTCTGGAATCTTCTGAAGACAGCAGCAACAACAAATTGAATGAAAACTTCTTTGAGCCCACATAGGCCAGAGCATGCTTGGAAACTTTCTGACCTTGTGCCACAATAAGAACATGCTTCCAGTATTTCCTATGCTATTTTTTCTTAAAATTCTGCTCATAATCTACTAAATTAGTTTCATCGTCCATCAGTGGGTCACAAGTCACAGCTCACAGCTGAGAGACACAAGGCTGGTGTGCACTGACCCCAGGCAGGGGTAAGGGAGAGCAGCTGGCAGGCCCTGGGTGCAGCCCTCCCAGCAGTGCTCAGAGAAACCAGAGGGAAAATCTGATTGCACAAGAAATCAGCGAGCCTGACCTTAGATAAACATGGCCTTTGTGGGTGCAATCCTGTTCTTTCATCAGAAAAATGGAGTAGGAGGAGCATCGACTGAGTAATTGCCCAGAAACACGAGACCAAGCCAGAAGCAGAGAGATCAGGACAGTGAGGAAACTAGTCCAGGTAGAAGTGCTGAGATCGTTCCTTGGCAGAGCACAGCCTGGTAGAAAGCTGCATCTCCAGGCAAGGTCACTGTGGAAGCCCATGGGACAAACAGAACTTAGACTTTGCACTTCTGGCTCCTGACCAGGCGTTAGTGAATCAAGGAACAGGGTGCCTCGTTGTGAAACAACATAAGCATTGTTTAAAAAGATTTATTTATTCACTTGAAAGGCAGAATAATACAGAAAGAGAGTGAGAGAGAGGGAGAGGGAGGAGAGAGAGAGAGAGAGAGAGAGAGAGAGAGAGAGAGAATCTCCCATCTGCTGGCTTGCTCTGAAAATGGCCGCAAAGGCCAGGGCTGGACTGATCCAAAGCCAGGAGCCAGGAACTTCTTCCAGGTCTCCCATGTGGGTGCAGGGGCCCAAGAACTTGGGCCACTCTCTGCTGCTTTCCCAGGCGTATTAGCAGAGAGCTGGATTAGAAGTGGAGCAGACGGGACCTGAACCAGCATCCATATCAGATGCCTGCACTGTAGGCATCAGCTTTACCACTATGCCACTGTGCCAGCCCCAACACAAGGATTTACTGGGTCCCTACTATATGCCAGGTGTGATTCTAGGCCCTAGGGCTCCCACTGGGAACACAACGAAGTCCCTGTTTGTATACTCTACTAGAGAGAGAAGGCAACTCCCAAACCATGTACATCATACAGTGCCAAATAGTGAAAAACTCTGGCAAAGGCGCAATGCGGGCTGAAGGGGGCACGCGCTCCCTAAATGGGATGAACAGAGACTGGGATGAAGGGAGAGTGAGAGCCTGAGAACACCTGGGGACAGCCTGTCTCTGCCAGGGGGAACAGCCAACTCAAAGGCCCTGAGGCTGGAGTCTCATTGTCCCTGTGGCTGAGCAGGCACAGAGCAATGGCCCCCTGCAAACACTGAGAGTCAGATGAGAGTAAAAGAGTCTCAGATACTGCATCCCCACTCTCGTGGCCTGCAGCTCCAAGTGGGCAATGCTCAGAGTAGGTGGATCACGGTGAGGATTTGCCACTCACCACTCTCTGATGGAAGTTTTTGTGAACCCAGAAATGAGGAGCAGGTTCTCCAAATCTCTGGTCTTTTGGATTCGGTCCTGGGTGCTCCTATCATGGTGGGCTGGGGCTGGCCTCCTACCTGCCGGTCTCACCACCCGAAGTCAGGGAGCGCCTGGGAGCCGGGCTCAGTTGTTGTTGGTGGTGTTGGGGTTGGGAGAGTGGCCACAGATGCATCTTGCCTTATAAGCCACTGCATTGTGGGGTTGGTTCTTCCACAATGACAGATAACCACAATAGCGGTTAAAGTGGTTTTTCTAGAACATAAAAAGTGTGCTTCTGCTATGTCAAGAGCCTTGGGTGATCACTGACGTCATACATAAGAGTGTTAATTGTTAAATTAACAACAGGAGTCATTGTGCACTTACTTCCCATGCAGGACCTCTGTCCTCAATGAGTTGTATCATGAGAGTTAACTGTAAAACTTATTCTCAAATAGATTTGTGTGTGTGTGTGTGTGTGCAAATTATTGAAATCTTTACTTGGTACAGAGTTGGTCTTTTGTGTATAAAGTTAATTGCAAATGAATTTTAATGGAGAATGGGACTGGGAATGGGAGAGGGAGGAGGAGGTGAGTTGGGAGTAGGGGTGGGAGGGCGGGTATGGTGGGAAGAATCACTATATTCCTGAAGTTGTACTTATGAAATTTGTACTCCTTAAATAAAACATTTCTTTGGTGGGCGGGGTGTGTGTGTGCATCTTCTTTTCATCAACTGGGTTAGTCACTGACATTTTTTAGTAATTTTAATCTGTAGTTTTTACCTCCTGTAAGGCTTTGCATATGTATATATATATATATTTTTTTTTTTTGACAAGCAGAGTGGACAGTGAGAGAGAGAGACAGAGAGAAAGGTCTTCCTTTGCTGTTGGTTCACCCTCCAATGGCCGCCGTGGCCAGTGTGCTGCGGCCAGCGCACCGCGCCTATCCAAAGGCAGGAGCCAGGTGCTTCTCCTGGTCTCCCATGGGGTGCAGGCCCCAAGCACTTGGGCCATCCTCCACTGCACTCCCTGGCCACAGCAGAGAGCTG